GTCCCCCGCCCTCGCTGTCCCCCCCTAGGCCGGTCGGGGATGCCGCCAGCCAAGGGCAGCGCTCCGCCCCCTACTCACAAGTGGGTGCAGTTGGTGGGACACGGCTGGCAGACGCCGTGTTCGTCCGGATACTTCCAGATAGTCACGAAGGAGGAATCCGCCTTGGCGCCACTGGGGCACTTCTCCACGCAGTGCTGCCCATCTCTGTAATGGGCGCAGGCCGTGCACTGGTCCGCCTCCTGCCGGGAAGGGTGCAGAGTGAGCAATGTGCATGGGGGCGGGGAGGGAGGGAGAGGAACCCAGGGACAGCCCAAAGCCTTGAGCGCTAGTAGAAAGGGATCGGTCTTAAAGGGGCCCCGCGCGCGCCTCACCGAGCCGTTGCAGGTCTCCGTGCCGTTCTGGGGCAAGCACTCGGGGTGGCAGGGGAGGCAGCGGGTCCCGTTGGCGTGTTCCCGGGTGGCCCTGCGGGGAGAAAGAGCCTGAGGCCACCACTGCAGTGGCACACGTCACCCGCGCCCCTGGAGCCGGCCGGGTCCAGCCTCACATCCCGACACTCGCGTGTGGAACGTGGTGCCCCCGTGGCAGGCTCTGACCTTTCGCAGCCACCTCACAGCTGTCCCGCTTCCTTCCCGGCGGCCCTCCCGGCTCCGCAGGGCTGGGATCGGTTATTCCCGCATCGGTAAAGGGCCTGGCTGCACGATCCGGGGCCCTGTGCCCACCCCGGAGAGGGAAGGTGCGACAGGGAGGGTGGAAATGCCAACAGCACTCTCTCCGGCCCAGGCTGGGGGAAGCTTTCAGGCTTGGTACAGGACCTAGCCTGCCCCTGTTCCCCCCCATCTGCCTCCCTTGCCCGCTTCTCCCTGACTGGCAAGATCCTCCCTAAGGGGGATGCCGGGGAAGAAGCTCCCTGGTTATTCTAGTCTCAAGGTCCCTTGGAGATGCCCCAAACCCAGGCAGGTGAAGACCCCGGGGCCTTGCAGGGAGACCCAGCCGCTCAGCGCCCGCAGCCCCCCGCTTACCCGTCCAGAAAGTTGCAGGACTCCACGCACTCCTGCCCGGCATCGAGCCCGGCCCCCAGCACTGCCCCAGCTTGCAGAGGTGGAAGCACACCAGCCCCTCGCTCTCTGCGGGGAGGACGCGCAGTTAGAACCCGGCCTGCCCCTCGGGACAGCCAGGCCGAGAGGTTTCCCCGGGGTGGGGGGGACGCAGCCTCCACCGGGCACAGATGCCGGGGGGCACCCGGGATCCGAGCGACAGCCAGGGGGAAGCGGCACTGCGAGTTGGCGCGCCACCCAGGAGCGAGCA